CTCTAATTCTTTAGCATGTTGTTCAGCACAGAGATTCTCCTCTTTTGTTTGGAGAGATTTTAACCTCTCTGTTATATCCTTCTCTTTCTCCAACAGGGAACTAGATTGTTTATCAAGTTCTTGCTCCTTTTCCAGGATCATTTCCTCAAGCTGACGAAGGTCAACTTCCCTCAATTCATACTCCCGTCTCTTGCTCTCTAGCTGAGACTCCATCGACATACGTTTCTGCTCCATCTCCTTTTCTAGTTCAGCCTTTTTTATTTCTAAGGCAGTTTCTTGATTAGCTACAAGTCTTTGAATTTCATCCTGCATGGTTCATCACATAGTACATTATTTACAAGAGATGGAAACTTTAAAACAGAAATATGACTGGATACCATTATCAATTTAAGAAAAAAAATCACAGTAAACCTCAGAGAGACGAGAAGAGGGCATCAAAGCCTTCAATGAACAATTCAAAGAAAACATCATTTGTAATTGAATGAGATGACTCACATGTTCCTTGCTCGCAATTTTTTCCTGCGCACAAAGTAATTGAGCTTCTTTTTTATCAAGCATTGCTTCCCTTTCCCTAACAGCCTGAAAACACGCATAAGATAAATATGCCTCCAAAATTTCAATCAAGAGAAGAAAATCTAAACAAAATGAGAGTGAAATGATCAATTCAAAATGAAGTTACTTGCTGAGTCAAATCTGAAAGTGATAATAATCTGGACTACTATTCTGAAAAAGGTATAAACACATGAAAGACAACAACAATGCAGATTGCTCATAAAATATAGTCCTATACAGGAAAAGACGAACCTTTTCTCTAGTTGAAAGCTCAGCTAGCTTTAGGTTTAAATCTGTCTTTTCCTTGTTAAGTGCTTTTAGTTCATTCTCAAACTTGGATTTCAACTCCTCTGATGCTTTTTCAAGCCTACCTAACTCTTCATGTTTTTCACTAATGTACTTCTCCCTCTGGCTTAAGAGGGCTTGTCCATCAAGCAGCCTTTCTTGTTCTTGCTGAAAAATTCTCTGTCTTTCACATAGTGCCTGCCTTTCAAGACTGATCTGCATTTCTTTGGCATCACATCTAGCACAAAAAAGAACATATATTAACAAATTGTTTCTTCTGAAAAAAAAGAGGGCAAATATTAGAACTGTGGAAATTTGAGAATGACTACAAAGCATCCAATTTTCCGAACAACTGCTAGAAAAATGAAATAGTGCATTATTCACCCAAATTTAGATCCTATTAAGCCATAATCGAGAACATTAATTTTTATCTTGTTTTTCTGTAGTTTGTTAACACCATATAGGCTGAGGTGGAATAGAAGTACAAGGACATCAGCTGCTAAGGGCTTGAATGAACATACTCGGACTTGAAAGACAAGATTTGTCTCCTAAGGGCATCTTCACGCTCTTCAACTTCGTGTAGCTTCCTTTCTGCAGTACGATGATACTGACTCGCCTCTCTTTGCAACATTTCTGCTGCATGCCTCTTTGCTTCAGCCTCAGCAAACTTCTTCTGGGCATCTTCTAACATACTGCATGCTTCAGCCATCTTACTCTCAACTGCAATCTTGTTTCCAGCAGCTTCAGCACGCATCTCATGTAAGCTTTTCTCAATCTGCAAAAAAGTGATCAAAAAATAAAAAATATCAGTAATAGAAGTAAAATCTAAAAGGAAAAGTGCACTAGTGAAACAAACAAAACAGTATAGCAAATAAATTACTATACATTTGTTAAACATTCTTTCTCAATCGCCAACGATTTTTTCAAGGAATCTTCACGCTTCTTTGCGTCAGCTAAAGCAGACAAATGCGCAGCGTGCTCCAATTTAAATTTCATTATATCTGAATCAGCAGAGGCTTTGACTTGCTCATTCTTGGATGACCAATCTTTCTTTTCCATTAGAAGTAAGCCCATGTGATACTGATAGTCAAAGACCTGCAGGTTAATATTACAATGCATTCAGAAACGAATCATGGAAAAAATCACAGTATATAAAAAACAAGGAGCACACAGTCATCAATCCACCAGGATGATACGTGGTATGTAAATAAGGTTAAAACAAATGCTCAAAAAGATGTAGGTTTATAACAAATAATACTCTAGTGAAGAAAGCAATTATAGTAAGAAAATAATACAAATAGGTCTATAACTTTGCCAATAAATAATCGCTCATTAAAATAAAAGAGCATACATATTTTTTATGAGTTAAAATAACAAAAGTAATAACTCCCTGAAGGTGAAAGCAAGATAAGACCAGGTGGCATTCCCGGTATCCAATATAGATGCATAGATATGTATGGTGATAATTAACTAGATTGTTATGCTGGAATTGAAGGCTGATGATGCATGATAAACAAAAATGTACTGACATACTTTTACATTATAAAAAGGAGATAAACAGAAAAAATGAGCGGAGTAAACTGGTACCTACATAGATCTCACATAAACTAGGTTAACATGTACCTAGACAGACCTTCCCTACAATGCGCACATGAGAAACCCAAGGCCAAAGCACAAGTTTTGAAGTTAAATTTCAGAAGTGATAGCATGAGCAATCAATATACTTAAAAGCATCCCAGATGAAGAAAGTTTCATTTTGAGGCTGCCAGCAACCTGACTACAACTGTTCTAAATCTAAGGAAAAATAACTACCTAGTTCCACAAAAAGCAACAGAAATCCTTTCAAAGTTTGAACTCCTTTAACTGTATATCAAACCCGCTGCTTGGTCGTTCATTTGGGCTCATTTAGTTCTTCACCAAATCTACTTAATCAGGTTACTCCCCAATTGCAACTTCCCACTACCTCGTCGTTAAAAATTTGAAAAGTTTACCTATAAGTCTATAACCAACTCAACTATAGAGTGCCATTAATGTCATTGAAATTTCCTTTTTGCGGAAAGATAATAACTCGATGCCTTGACCTACTGTAAGGATTAACTTGACAAACTAATCCTTTCACCACTAGGTACAGAAGAACAATGTTAATGAAATCTAATAACGTGTTCTATTCTCAAGCAACACTTAGTTCAACTAAAAATTGTGTATTAAAAACGTCAAATTAATTGATGAAATACTCATAATTAACCCTTCGGAAACTAAAATCAAACAGAAACATAATCAAGAAAAAATACAAAAACATATAATATTATTTACCAAACTTACAAGTCAACAAACCACTAAAAAACAAGACAAATAATAGATTAAAAAAGAGAGAGACAGAGAAATTAAAACAAACCTCAGATTCTAATTTAGTGATATAAGCAATAAGAGCTGTTCTATCTTTCCGTTTAATTGAATCTTCATCAAATCCAGTTTCACGAAGACGAGAAGAAAGACCTTCATCAATACTAACAGAACTTCTTCTATTACCTGAAACTGGTGTTGAAACTAAATCTAAAACCCTAACATCTGGAGAAGATCCTCCTCCAACTTTACTATTAAAAGGAGTTATTGATAATCTCTCCTTTTGATAAGAACTCGTCATCTCTTCTTCTTCTTCTTCAAAACCCTAGATCGAAACCAATAACACACTCTC